CCCTTTTTTTGCGATGCCTCTTATCAACTACTTCGACAGTGCTCTTCCTTCCTCCCAACCTCTCGCCGGGGTCAGGACATCATCGAGCTGACCCGCCGCTCTCTTCTCGTGATCCCTCACATCCAGTTACTTCTGAGGGTTCCCCCTGCCCCAAATCCACCACGCCCCGTTCCACAGCACCGGGGGACAACTCTCTCTTAATTGTCATGTATGTTTTTTAATTTTAAATTCCTCACAGAACGCCGGCCTTACCGCTCGAAAAAACCTCTCAGGGATGAAGCCTTAAAAACCTCCTAAGCTCTTCCTCTAGAGGGCCCCCCTCCTCCTGATTGCCTTCTTCTTTTTCCTTTGTGTAGTAACAAATCTTTACAAATTTCACACAGCCCGTTCCTCTTTGGGCTCTCACCTCTCATACAAGGCCCAGGGCCCGCTTTATTTGGGAAAATACACGGGTAAACTGGGTTTTTTTTGGTGGTGCCCTCCCCACTTACCAACTCTGCCGCCCTTTTGGGGGACGCCCCCTATTCTGCACTCTCTCTGTCCCGGATCAACCATTAACTTGCTCCTGGTTAACAGGTAAGCGGTATGGGATTTTAAAGTTCCTTTTACCTCACCTCTCCCCCCAAAAGGGCCCCCACCCTTTTTGCACCCCAAAAAATTTACCGGTTAATTTTCCCTTTGCGCTGGGTCCCGTTCCCCCCTTGGTATTGAGAAATTTTGAGTTTTGGGCATAATTTAATTTGGGTTTGAAGGTTAAAGATAAGCGGTAGGGGGGTTTTAAGCCCTTTAAAAAAAATTTTGACGTAGTAAGTTTTTTTTTGGGGGAAAATATTTTAAAAAATTTAGTGGGTTTTTGAAAAAGGGAAAGTTTTTAACCCCTAAAGGGGGAAGTAGTAAAAGATTAATTTATAGGAAGATGTTTAAATTACCAAAGATTTTTGGAAAAAAAATTTGGAAGTTTTATAAGTTTTTAGGTAAATTTTTTCCCCATTTTAGGTTTTGATTTTGGGAGTAACTGAATAAAGGAAAATTTTGGGGAAGAAAGTTTTAAAGGAAAAAAATTTTTAAAAAGGCCAGTTGAAAAGGTGTTGAAAAAGAGAGGGGTGGGGAAAACCCCCGACCGTGGCAGGCAGCGAAATGGCTGATGATTTTTCCCTCAAAAGAAAGTTTCTCCTGAGTTTAGTTTGTGCAATATAACCCGGGTTTTTTTATCAACTGTTTCCGTATAATAATGGAAAAAAGTCGTTTTTGATCAAAATAATCACAGTGTTTGATTTTTAAGGGTTTATCCTAGGTTAAATCTCATATATGGGGTCCACAACATTGTAAAAAAATAATTTAAATTTATTACCCAAAGCCTAAAAAATTTTTTTTACTTACCCTTAAAGGTAATTGAGGTTTTTGGGTTGATTTTGCCTTTTTAAAAACCCAAATTTTTGTTTTTTAGGAAAGAAAAAAAAAGGGTTATTTTTTTATTTTAAAGATGATTAAAAACTTATATCGTTTTTTGGTTGGTCTCTTCTCAGAAACACGAGTATCCCTCTCGTTTCAAGAGTGTTTTCTAAGGGGGAAAGCTGAATAGTTTTCTGGTAGATTCCAAAATTTGAGTTTTTAGGAAATTAGGTATTTGGGCTCCATGGGGAACTTTGAAAACCTCTGTGATTTGATTCACGTCTTCGTCTAACTTAATTTTTTTGGAGGATGTCTCATAAAAAACTCAATAAAAATGTAACTATATAAGCAGTAAATAGTTCATTACCACTGTAATTTGTTTGCATAAAAATTTGCATCCCAAACCGGGACCATCTCACAGAAATAAAAAAATACTACTCACAGTGGGTGGGAAGGTAAAAAATAAACAGCCATTTTTACAATTATAATTTAAAAAAGTTTCCCAAATTTTAAACCTGGGGGTTTTTTTCCTTATTTCCAAGGCATATTGTTTTTTTTTCGTTATTTTGTTACTTTTTCCAATGATTTTTTAAAAAAATTTAATTCTTCGTGTTCTTTACTGTATTTTTATGAGAGTTTTTCCCGGTTCTCCGGGAATTGTACTTTACTTTTATGTCAATAAAATTAATTTTACACGACTGAGAACTTGTGCTTGCTTCCTGTTAATAAGTTTTAAATCGTTTTAAAATTGCATCATATTGTTTTAGCCTAGCACGGCCAACTTTTACAAATTAACTCTCTATATATTTAAACCCAAATTTTTTCCCGGGAGGTGTGTTAAAAAGGGGGTTTTATGGTATGGTAAGGTGGAAGGATTGCTTGCGTGTTAGTATTGCGGTGGTGGCGGGTGATGGTGGTAGGAGGCTGGCACCTCCCTCAACACCAGTGTAGCTGGAGTACTCTATGTGGGAGGCTGGCCTGCCCCTTGTACTCGTCTGTACTCAATGCCTCCTCAGCTTCTCATAAGCATCTGTGAGGTCTCTGGATTAAGACTTCGCAAACTACCTAGAATCATCATCCATGTATTTACATTTTAAGGAAAGTGTTGAGAGTGTGAAGGTGCAATGCCACGGATCCAGAACATAACTATCAACTGTACCGAGGTGAACTGTCATAAGTAGCTACGATGGGCATCTACGAGCTCAACGAGCCAGTTACACACCTCCAACTCCGGTTCGCCGTCGTTTGCACTGCTAACATCGTCTCCATCCGGGTACACCTAGTGAAGTTCAAGGCGTTATTCCAAACTTAATACCAGGTTGCTTAAAATTCTTAGCCGGTTCAGTGAAATAATTAGGTTAATTCTTTGACTATCTTCAGGCTTCGTTATGAAATATATGTGTGCCAGTGTTTTGAACTGCTATGACAAATCAGGTCAACAAGTCAGGTCTGTCGATCAATCGTTCGGGGGAGCCAGGAAGTCACAGCTTTCCTGAAAACCGTTTCCATCTTGGATAACCAGCTTAAATATAGCTCAGTAAAATCTGCTTCCTGATTTACAGAAGAATGATAAGACGAAATATGGTAGAGATGAGAAAAAAAATAAAAACCTATTAAATCTGGTTATGTAAAACAAGAGGTGATAATATGCAGTTACAACGTAGCCCTCAAGGTCAGTCTTACGTTACAACATACTGGAGATCCCTGTTGGACTGCAAATGCACACCAAACAATCAACTATGTGGAAATGCAAAGCGGCACCGCCTAGAAATGGAGCACATAACACTGATCATTACTTGAGGCAGCAATAGTGAGTGTCACTGTAGGCAGGACCCACGTGGACGAGGCACTGACTGTTGTCATTAAGCTGCTACACTCACAACACATGATACTTGAAGGAAGGTATGTGTATATCAGGCAGGGTGCTGGTGCCTTCCTCTATCATGTCTCCTTACTCAATTTCCCTCTCCCACCCCACCCCCCTCAAGAGCTCTTTCCTGGGCCACTTCCCCCTCCTACCTCCCCAAATGCACACAGACACACACACACAACTACGATAAAGTTCATGGAGCAGGGAGAGAGTAGACCTAGTAGCAACCGGCGAAGAGGCGGGGCCAGGAGCTGTGAACCACAAATAGGTGAGTACACACAGAGAGGTGGCGAATACGGAGACAGCAGACACAGGCTGAGAGACAGTTTGAGAATGACAAAGCAGCAAAGGCTAAGTCTGAACCAAAATTCTTTCACAGCCACATTAGCAGAAAGACGACAGTAAAGGACCAGGTAATTCGACTGAGGTAGGAAGGAGGAAAACTCACGGACAATGACAAGGAAGTTTGTGAAGTGTGGATACAAAATCGAAATCTTCTTAGTGGGAACTGGGGCAATACTAGAAACTAAGGAACAGGGGGGATGGGGCACTTACAAGTACTGAATACCATCCACACAACAGAGAAAGAGGCAAAGAAACTTTGTTGGAGCTGGATACATCAGAGGCAATGGGTCCTGACAGTGTCACCATGGATTCTGCGAGAGGGTACAGAAGGATTGTTTAAACCCCTATGATCTACCGTAAGTCAATATATATACGGGGCAGTTACTAGAGATCTGGAAGACAGTAAATGTAGTTCCTATATGTAAGGAGACAGACAGGAGGTGTTAAACTACAGACCAGTTTCTCAGACATGCATACATTGCAAGGTAATGGAGACATTTATCAGAAAACCAGTGGTAGAACTCTTGAATAAAAGTGCTTTCGTTAACAATAACCAGCATGAATTTGGTGATGGCAAATCTTGTCTTACTAACCTCTTTAAAAGTTTTTTACAAGTAA